TGACCAAGTTGGCCTTCCCAAACTACTTTTCCGGCAAAACAGTTGCTCCCTGTCTCCCCTCCCCCCACTCTCCCCTCTCTCCCCTCTCTCCCCTCTCTCCCCTCTCTCCCCTCTCCTACCCTCTCTCCCCTCTCTCCCCTCTCTCCCCTCTCTCCCCTCTCTCCCCTCTCTCCCCTCTCTCCCCTCTCTCCCCTCTCCCCCCTCCCCTGTGACTCTGTCCCCTCCTCTCCCTCCCTCCCTCGCTCTTCCCTCTCTCCCTCTCTCTCCTCTCTCCCTCCCTTCTCTCCTCTCCCCTCTCTGCCCTCCCCTTCTCCTCTCCTCTCCCCCCTCTCCCCCACCTGTCTTCTCTCACTCTCCCTCTCTCCCTTCTCTCCCCTCCCTCTCTCCCCTCTCTCCCCTCCCCTCTCTCCCCTCTCTCCCCTCTCTCCGCAGTACCAGCAATCTCTGAAATCTACTACTTCTCCCAGCCAGCAAGGGCAGCAAAACCGGAACTTTTTCAATGTACAAGGGAGCCAGTAGCAGCAAACTCTCAACTCTGCTAATCTGCCAGGCAGCCAGGAGCAGCAATTTCTCAACTCTGCTAATCTGCCAGGCAGCCAGGAGCAGCAATTTCTCAACTCTGCTAATCTGCCAGGCAGCCAGGAGCAGCAGCTTTCAAAATTACCTCTGTGTCTGTGACCACTAGATTTCAGTTGTGGTTTTTTCTGGATTCAGTTGTGCTTTTTTTGTGGTTGTGATTTGAAGTTTGTGCTCTTGCTGGTGCTTTGCCGTGGCTTGGCACGGTGGGTGAGCACCAAAATACCACAAACTTCAAATCACAACCACAAAAAAACCACAAACTTCAAATCACAACCACAAAAAAAACCACAAACTTCAAATCACAACCACAAAAAAAACCACAAACTTCAAATCACAACCACAAAAAAAGCACAACTGAATCCAGACAACAAACTTCAAATCACAACCACAAAAAAAACCACAAACTTCAAATCACAACCACAAAAAAAACCACAAACTTCAAATCACAACCACAAAAAAAGCACAACTGAATCCAGAAAAAACCACAACTGAAACCAGAAAAACGCACAACTGAATCAGGAAAATTTGGAATCTACCTGCCAAAATCCTGGGGAAAGGCCGGCGCCTTTAAAAATGATCAAGTGGCCACCAGACCCCCCACGGTCTGCAGGCCGGCCAAGGCCAGCCCCCTCTGTGGCCTCGCTGCACCCCCAGGCCGGCCAAGGCCAGCCCCCTCTGTGGCCTCCCTGCACCTCACCAGCTTGCAGTTTGGGTTAATTAGACTCATCCCTTCTCCCCTCAATTCATTCCCCCCAAAAAGAAGGTGCAGTGTCATTGTCTGCCGATTGTCTATGTTCGATGCGTGCGTAGAAGGGAAACGACTTATGGTGCTGAGTGAATGCTCAGTTGCAGGTTTTCAGGGGATGCAGCAGCATCCTTTCTTCTAGGCATGCTGCAGGAAGTCATGGTCTAATTTTCGAAATTTCTGATTAGCGGCATTGTCGGCATTGTGGCTTTCATATTGATTGATATCAATATCTGTGTTTATATCCCAAAATGGCACATCACATGACTGGAAGTCGATTAACTTATAAGTTATAAATTCTAAGACATTCCAGCTAACTATGAGGCCTACACTGTTTCGGGCTCCGTGGTCATAAAAAAAGAAATAACAAGAGTAGGTGAACAGAAACACCAACTGCGAACATTGTGTGATCATGGCATAAAGAGAAGGGGAAAGCAGGGGGCTGGTGGGACTCAAATAATATCGATGCACAGATCACAGAACTATGCAGGGAAGGGAAACAAACCAGATTTTTTCTGCACCCATTTTTTTCAGTGACAATTGTAAATCTAGGTTTTGCATGAACCCCTTATAAAGAAGTTGTGCTTTTTTTGTGGGTTTCATTGTGGTCACTGTTACAGGGGCCCGGCTGTACCCAACATATAATGTTCTTTAACGCATGCATGCACGACGCTTAGGCGGATCGGAGAGGAAGTCCAGCCAGACACTCAGGGCAAGGGCGGAACTGGACCCCGAAAACGAGGAAAGCACGGCTGCCGCCGTCGCCTACGGAAAAGGCCTTCTCTCTGGCTCGAGCAGCTCTAAGAAGAAGAAGAAGGCTAAGAAGAGCAGCGACTGCAGCTCCGATGATCCGGAGCCCAGCAAAAGAGAGAAGGCTGCAGGTGCGGAAGGCGAAGAGCCGACTTCGGACGAGAAGCTCTTGAAGAAAGAGGTGGCCAGGCTGCTTGACTGTGATATGACGGAAAAAAAGCCCTAAAATCCACGGCCCAAACCCCTTAAAGCATTATATCCCTAATTACATTGAAGCTTTTTTGGGGGCAAACCAATCTGTGTTGTACCAATCCAAAATCCATTTAGCTTCTTATATAATAATATAGTATAATGGCCCCAAAAACCCTATTCTAATTATTAAGGCCCATATATTAACTTTTGTCAACCCCTTACGGCTAATTCATCTTCCCTTTTCACACCCTATACGCACGCATGTATAATGGGCCCGAAAACCTTATAATTGTTAAGGCCCTTACATTGACCTGTAAACCCCTCACGGCTAGAAAAATCCTTTTTCCTATACCGAAACCCTACGCACGCATTTATTAAGGCCCCTATATATATTAACAGTTTTAAACCCCTAAGGGCTATTCCATCAACCCTTTATGTATATAAGCCTACAAATCCGAAACCCTACGCATGCATGCATGCATGGGAGGGTCGAGTGCACGCATGCATGCATGGAACCGCCGATTGAGGAGCCGCTGTCGCCTCCCCCACCGCCCCCTAAACCAATCCTAAACCCTATGCATGCATGCTATAATCCCACTCATGATTCCAATCCGAAACCCTACGCATGCATGCTAGGGCACTCATGATTCCACGCATGCATGAACATGCATATAAAGGTTGAACAGGCTGCAGAAGAAAGCACGAGAGACTTCCGCTGGCCTTGCCGGAGTGCCGAACTTCGAGGTCCGCGGCTTTGTTGCATATCATGTTGGGCCTGCAATGCAGTCAATGCAATGCATTCCTGCACATGCTTGACCTATAGAAGTTTTGCTCGAGCATACTATATCCCACCGCCATGGCATCCACCAAGAAGATTGAAGACAATGACAAAGAGGAGGTGGATGACCTTGCAAAGCAGCTGCTCAAGCTCCAAGTGGGTGGGACGCCGGAACGGAGTGAGGCTGAGCAGTTAAAAGAGCTAGGCAATCTCCTGAACCGCCCGGTGCGAGAGCTGGCCGGCTGGTGGTCACTGTGCAAACAGACGGGCTACTGTTTGCACTGCTCGAGGTGTTACATTATTGAGTTCCTTTCTTTAAAGGAAATCGCCAAATTTGATTCCTTGTGGCATGATGATTTTGAATGCCGCTGCGAGATGGATAATTAGCTGCACATACATGCACGGGATCCAATTATAAGCTGTGCAGGGAAAAAAGTTGCTGTGAGCGGGTGCAGTGTGAGTGTGAGCAGTGCGGATGCCTGCGAGGGGCGACTCCTGGTGTCTTATAAAGCTCGATCTTTGCAGGAGCAGCATGAGTTCATCAAAAAGTGGTTCAACTGGCTATCTGATTTCACGCGAAGGCCACGGCATGCATCATTTGTGCGGCCTACTTGAGTCCATATGGAACACAGGTTGGAAACAGATGAAAGCAATGGCAAGACCGCACGCTTCTTGCTGGACAAGGTCGAAAAGAACGCGAGCAAGTTTCAGGCACTTCCTAAATTAGGAAAGATCGGCACCTGATTCTTGACATGAATGAGGTTATGGACGATGCTATCAACAATGCAGCTGCTGTCGTCAGGAGTCACAAGAACCGTCACGTGCTGGAATGTTTTTTGCTTGAGTGTCTGGGTTTCCCAATCCGGTTTGACATGCATGTGCCTTGAGGGTCTATATAGTTTCTAGGAGCATGCATGTATATATCTACCAAAAATATATTTGCTGAGGGTTCGATCGGATTAAGGTGAGAAGAAGAAGCAAGAAGCTGCCTCCGCCTAGGGTACCACGCCAGAGTACTGAAGGGTGCAATAGCTGCATGCATTTTGAAAATAAACCGAAGTAAAGTAAGTCGCCTCGGCATGCACATGCACTCTAGGATCTGGCCCGGGTTTTCACAAAGCATTGCTCGTGGCTCATGAAACTGAGTTCCCGGCGAATGCATTTCGTTCCGTATAGTTCTGCACCGACAGCCTGTGTTAGGCTACGCGATCACAGGCTCCGAGTGGCGCACGATTGAAAAAGCTCCGAGAACTGCCAGTGCCTTCATGCATGCATTTTGAGGTTGAGGGTTTAGGTTATATATGGTTCAGGGTTTAGGGGTCAAGGTGTAGGGATTATAAGTTTGTGACATGAAGATGATCATGTAAGTAGTTTCTCCCGTTGCAGACGAAAGCCTCGGATAAGTGGTCATTGTGCCAAAATGCTATCGTGCCTGCAAGTTTCAAGCCAGGTCGCCAGCATGCATGAAGTATTATGCTATTGCTATACCCACGCAGGTCACGCCTTGGCATCTACGCGGCACGGCACCGCGATCTCCAAGCTCGTGACAGACTTCCTGGACATGCTCATGAAGGGCGAGGTATCGAAAATCATGCATGCTTTCTAAAGCTAAACCCCTCAACCCTCGATCATGCATGTTGAAAAGAACCCAGATCCCTCGATCATGCATGCCTTAAACTCTTAAACCCTCAACTTGCAACCCTCATGCATGAAGCATACATGTTAAACTCTTAAACCCTCAACTTTCAACCCTCATGCATGAAGCATACATACACGCATGCATGCTTCGAAACCAATCAACCGAAACTATATATATGAAATTCCCTCGACCCGCATGCATGCCTCGCCTGCATCATCGCAGTCGGAGCGCCGAAAGCCTGAACCCTAAAACCCAAACCCTATAACCCTAGAACCTTAAACCCTATATATATATTATAATCCTGAACCATAACATGCATGATCGAGGCAAGCATGACGCGGCTGGCTAAGAGCCTTCAGACCCTGAGCGAACTGCCTCGGTTCTTGGTGCCCCGGCGGGTGCTGCAGCTGGCTGATGCTTTCCACAATTCCCATGGATGGGGTCTGGAGCGGACCTTCAACCGCTGGTGCCTTAAGCTGCCTGCACGGGCATGCCTTCCGGAACCATACGAGTGCATGGATGCAGATCAACATTTTTATTATGTTCATGATACATGTGCTGATGCTTTCATGCATGGATCGAAGCATTCATTTCGCATCTGCAGGTTCCAGGTGCCGAGGGTCCGGGTGACATAGATGCATTGGCAATCTTGTGTTTTAAATTATAATCCTGCACGCATTGAATTTGCACGCGTGCTTGAAAATTAGCATGCACGAACTGCAGGTGGGGAATGAGGAAGCAAAGCACAATGTCACCATCGGTGTGCTTCTTCCTCACGAAGTCTTCGCTCGCATGCACGACTTCGGAGGGCATCTGTTCAGCGACTTCTTGACCGGAACTCCAGAGGTTGGATCTTGAAACTTAAACACGCATGCAATTGGCCAGCCTCGTAGCATATTACATGCTACAGGATCTCGAGAAATTCTGGCAGCAGAATGCCGACCTTTCGGACGAAATTGCTGGAGCATGGGGCCCGCAGGCAAAGCTGTGGCCGCAGATTATATGTCTTAAACTCGTATACCTGATAATTCAAAAAGGTCTCCTTCCGTAAGATCATGCCCTGGCGACTCTACGGCGACGGTGCCGAAGCCTGGAGCTGGAAGCCAAGAGCACTACACCGTCCTGCAAATATACTTAGATATATATCTAATACAAATTTATGTGTGTGTGTATATATACCTCAGGCAATGGCAGCTTCGAGCTCATGAGTCTTGTCTCCGTCTGCACCAACAAGGCGAGTACATTGGACACTCGCATTCCGTGCCATGGATTATATGCTTTGAAATCAATATGTGCATATGCATATACTGCTGCTTGCAAGGATATGTATCCGCAATGCCACTAGCACAAGCGAGGCCGATCGTTTTTGCATGATCCATGGATCCATCCACAGCGCTCTGTGCCAGGAGGTGCGAGACCAGATCCTGGAGATCATTGCATGGTCTTTCCGCTGCCTGGGTGGCACGCACGCATGCTAGTACACGCATCATATATCCCGCATGCCGTGCACGAAATGGCATGTCATGCATGCATGTATACAGGTCGTGGCCGCTGGCCTCGACGAGACCCTTTCGGTCAAGAGTGGCCAAAAGGATATCGGAGAGACAAAGTTGGCCAGCCTTTGGCCGGAGAGTGGCGAGCTGTGATGGCTGGGCTTCAAGGCGACCAAGACTGGTTTCATAAGATATTTCGATTCCAACGAGACTGGCCACGCAAGAGACATGTGTGTTTTTTTTTACATATATACATATATACATATATACTGACATATACCTCGCCCTTGTTTTTGTTGCTCAGGATCTTGGCACAGCACAAGGAAGGAGTGTTGCCAGTACTGTGCGGCAACGCAGATCGTGGAGCCCGGTGGGAGCCACGACATGCTGTACACTGAGTTTGGTCGAAATGCCCGCCATCGTCGCACGCATCTCGCAGCATTATATATGTGTATACACACGCACGATTGCCAAGTAGCACATGTTGATTGTCCAGGATCCTGCAGACACGGGCAGATTGGGAAGCTGTCCACTGTGCAACATGCATCACGCAATTGGTAGGATTTTCACCCAAGCGAGTCTTGCTTTGCAATTATTGTATGACTATAAATTCGAGCCTGTGAGTTTTTAGGTATGTTTCAGCCATGGATCCTTGACATACTTCGATCTTGCAGGAGTTTACCCAGATATTCTGCACATTCTGGACTTGCAAATATCTGTGGATTGTATTACTTCGGCCTTGCTGGACTTTTCCGACGCTGGCAAAGCACCAGGTCGTTCGCGAGATGCTAGACTGCGGGCAATTGGCTATGAGTACGCAGACTGGTGTCGGCAGGAAGGCACTCAAGCACGCATTTATTATGATTATAATATATATATATATAGCTGGTAGCATGCATGTGTTCGCTAGATGGATATTCAGCCTGAGGAGTGCAGGATCGTGCCAATCCCAAGCTGTTCCTGTCAAAGACCTTGGGAGAAAGCAAGGATTATCCTCACGTTTCGCAGAAATATCTCAAGGCAGCTGCTTCTCGATACATGGTTTACTTTATGTACGACTTCTCGAGAAAAAAGGAGGATGAGGTTCGTGCCAGCCTTTTCGGAGCATTGAGCACCATGCTGACAGTGTTTGCTGAACACCCGTGTCCGGGCTAATCGTCTTTTTTTAATCATGCATGTGTTTGAAAGTTATAAACGGTCAAGGGTCCAAGGATGCATGCACGTTAAGACGTTCAGGCGCTACTGGGACCACGATGCCGAGGATTGCGATGGCCACCCAGAGATCGTCCTTGAGCGGGCATATATGCAGTACAGATCCGTGTACGATGCCCTGGCCCGCGAAGCAATCGAGCAAGGGGTGTACAGGTATAACCTGCGACCCAAAATGCACCAACTGGAACACGTGCAGCCTAGGTTCGAGAACATCAGATTTTTTGTTGTTTGACTTGCACGCATATATGCACCGGTGGCATGCAAGATCTTCATGCATGCATGCATGTCCGAATCCAAGGATCTTGGATTGGGTTCCTGAGGCCGGGAATCCCCGGTACTACAGTTGTTTCCTCGACGAGGATCTCATCGGCAAGGTCAAGCAATTCGCCTTCACATGCATGCACATGCATACATGCAATTCGCACACAAGATTTCACGCATGATTTCACGCATATTCGCACACAAGATTTCACGCATGATTTCACGATCTGAGGCGGATCGTCGAGCACTCGCATCCTCGCACCATGAGCTTGCGGGCCTTGCAGCATTACTGCCTGCTAGCCGCCCTCCGTTGGGTCGGAACCGACATGTCGTGACTGCTGCGAGGAAAAGTCTGCAGCCGACGTACTGCTCTGTGAGTGTTCGCATACATATTTGCACGCATGTTCGCGGTTGGTCGTATATCGGGCGGAATTTTTGCATCTCGCGAGTCGCTTTATCTGAAATTTCTAAGCCTGCTTGTCTTCAAATCCAGTTTTTCGTGTTTACTGTCAAAACAAATCCAACCGACTTTATCTTTATTCGGTTTCGTCACGTATTTCAACCAACTCGAAAAATTTGTTTATATATCGTCCAAAACCGAAAAATGCTCTATACGGTCGTTTGACGCAAAGAGCGCTTTATGATGTCGACCGGCCTTTCTTGGTACGGTCCCCCTTGATCTCCAACATGATGAACAGATCAAGGACTTCTTTCGAGGTAGCGGTGACCACACGCTCGAGCAGCTCCTCGCGTTGGCGCGGCGCCGGAGGAGCGCGTTCGTCTACCAGGCTGCGATTTTATCCAACATGGCCAGTTTTTGAAATCTGGCCTGATTACGATGAAAACGAGCGCCTTCCGCTCCTTACGGGCAAGGTTTGGCCTTGGGGCTGGTGGGATTGCTTCCAGTGTGGGCGTGCTAACCCACCGGAGCGCAATACCTGCCGGCACCATGACGCCGAAGAGCTCGGAGGTGCCCCCTGTGAGGGGTTTTAGGGTTTAGGGTTTACAGGCTTTATGGGGGGGTGGGTTTTATACTATGCCCACTGATCCTTTAATTATTTTTAATTGGGGTTTGTGCTCAGGGATTACGGAATCAGGGATTGAGGTTGGGAGTTTGGAGTTTGAAGTCTAGGTCCGGGCTGAGGGCTTAGGGTTTAGGGTTTAGGGTTTAGGGCTTAGGGTTTAGGGCTTAGGGCTTAGGGTTTGCAAGTTCCTCCGAACTCTGGCCCTACTGTCAGGAGATTCGCGCCGAAGCTTTGCTGAGGATCGAGAAAGGCTGCCCGGCGCTGCAGGTAGGGTGCGTAGCTCCGCGCCTACAGCCCTAGCCGAACTGCAAGCTTGGTCATCGACAGCTACATCAGACGCTACCTCTTTCATGGTAGCGGAGCCTCCCGCTAACCAGGGGGGCTCATAGGATCCAGGGACCGCGGCTCCAGTGGGGACTGGAGAAAGATGAGTGGAGCGTCTGACAGTGGCGCGACAGCAGTGACGCGTAACAAAGACGGAATACCATGCTGGAGCGGGGAAGCAGGGTCTTTCGTGGAGTACGAGGAGGCCGCTCTCCTGTGGGAGCAGTCTTTGACATGGGAGAAGCGGTACACTGCTGGGCCGAGGCTAGTTCAGGAACTGTCTGGAGCGGCTCGCCGCTTTGTGGCAGGCCAGAGCGCGGGATGGGTCGCCTACAGAGGCGGCGTGAAGGCGCTCATGGACCACCTTCGCAAGGCACTGGGAAAGCCCCGCGTCAACGAGGTGACCGATCTTCTGGCATTGTACTTCAAGGGCACAAAGCGCAAGGCGAACGAGAGTATGAATGAATACATCACCAGGAAGACGGAAGCCTACATGCGGGCGAGCCAGGCTTTGAAGCGGGTCCAGCCACACTATGACCGGGACACGACGACCACCCAGACCAGTGTGGGCACGTACAGCAGGCGAAGCAGCTACGATACTATGAGTGGATGGGGCCGGCAGTGGACACCGGCCACCGAGGAGCCGGGCACCAATGAGACTGAGGCCTCCACCGAGGCCACCGCCAACCCGGAGACCGGAGATACCGGAGATGATCAGTGGCAGACAAGGTGGAACACCTGGGGCGCTTCATCGTGGGGATGGTCACCCTGGGGTGGATACGGCAGCTGGGGAGCACAACCCTGGCAAGGCTCTTCATGGGGAGCCTCTTCTACTTCGTCTTCGCTGGGGGAGACCGCCCCCGGACTACCGGATCTTCTCCCCTCCTTCATCCAAGGCTGGTACCTCCTCGCGGACTCCAACCTCGACCACGCCGAGAAGAACATTGTCCTCACCGCCTTGGGCGGGGACTTCGCACCGCAAAAGGTGGCTCAGGAACTCCGCAACCAATTCCCTGAAGGGGAAGTCCGTCGCCGTGATCAACGGCGATACCAGAGCTACATTGGCGAGGCCTTCGAGGACTCCGGCGACGAGGATGCGAAGGACTACTCCTACGGGTTCTCCATCGAGGAGCTGAGCGAGGGCGGCATGAATGAAGAGGGCATCGCCTTGGTCGTGGACTACGAGGAGACGGCGAGGGAGGCTATGGCAGCCCTCCACCAAGCAAAGCGGACATTGAAGGAAGCTCGCCAGAAACAGCACTCCGTGAAGCAAAGCCGCAAGTACTACCAAAGCAAGCTTGGCCCTGCGACCTGTTCTATGATGGCCGTGTGGGTAAAGAGGTTTATAAGGTGGGTTATATCTTGGACAAGGTGAGTTATAATTCGTGTATCCTATGTTATATATAGTGTATTTGTTTGTAAGTTACATATAAGTATCTCTGAACATATATATCAGTTGTATCCGTTTGGGTGAGTTATAAGTGGGATTATGACAGTTATGTGTCTTGCTGTCTAACTGTTTATAAGTCATTTATAAGTTCGTTTATAAGTTCTGCATAAGTCATGCCAGAAATCTACGAGGCTTTACGTTTTTTCCGTTTTGGGACAATGTAGATTGATTTTGATGCAGTTACGGCAATGCTTTCTTGTAGAATTCTGGACCTTTCGAATCTGTTTTCGCCTTCGAATCGCCGCTCTCGAATGCATGGAGGCTTGCCCCGTGCACAGCAGTTACAGGTGCGCAAAGCTCCGTAGCTGCCATGGGCGGGAAAGGACAAGGTGGCAAAGGCCACTGGAGGCCCAGGCCTGAGCGGTGGGTCCACCTGGGCCCATGGCAAGTGGACGAGGGCTTCACCCTAACGGCTGCGGATCGGGACAGAATCCGCAGTGAGTACAACGGCAGCAGTGCAGCTGTGCGACTACGTTCGTCTTGGGGCGAGCGGGCCCTAACGGTTTCTGGGCCTGAAGACTCCGCACACGCAGCAGCTACGGCTGCGTGGCGCTGCATGGAGCAAAGAGCGGCAGAGGCAACCACCGTTCCGAAGCCTCCTGCAGCCAAGGCACGTGCAGCGGCGAAACCGGACCCAAGGCCACCGCAGCAGGAGCAGCAGCCAGAGCAACCTGCACCTCCCCGCTCCCACACGTGGCCGCAGCAGTCGCAGGAGCAGTCCTGGCCTTGGCCTGGGTGGTTGCCACAAGCTTGGCCAGCAGGCCAAGTTTGGCTGCCAACTTCGCAACAGTCTGGGGCTGCGGACGAAGCCGCCCGAGCAGCACAGGTGGCCCTGGCAAGGTGCGAGAGCCTGCATGGTTCCATGGTGGCCATGTACAACAACTTCTTGGCAGAACTACGGCAGCAGGAAGCTGCATCTGCAGCTGCTTCTGCAGTTCCTGCACCCCTGCCCCAGCAGCAAGCACAGGCAACACACAGTGACAGTGACTCAGGGAGCGAAGCAAGCAGTGCAAGCAGTAAGACAAAAGTCGAAAGCAAAGCCACAGTTGCTGCAGCCTCAGCACCCCGGCCGCAGAACCCAGAAGAAACAGAGAGTGACGCGAACAGCGAACCGACAAGCCCAGCCACGCAACTAGGCGAGGATGATCAATCCGGTGCTGGAGGCAACCAGCCACCCAAGCCTCAACAGGAAACAAAAGCAACAGCAGCACCGGAGCAGCAAGCAGACATGCATGCCAAGGACCCTAAAGGGGAGATCATCTCGCCGACATCTCCTTGCGATGACGCCAAATTGGAGCCGCAGGACTCTGATGGGCACGAGTCGCCTACAACAAAGAAGCAGAAGACATGAGGCTTGCCCGTGTCTTCGATGGGGACGAGTCACCTACAACAAAGAAGCAACAGACATGAGGCTTGCCCGTGTCTTCGATGGGCACGAACAGAAGACATGAGGCTTGCCCGTGTCTTCTTTTTTGTAATTCTCTGAGGCCGTGCTGCCCGCTTTCACTTTTAGGCATGCTTCGCCGTGACGCTGCGAAAACATCGGAAAGTCTGCAATGTGTGACAACAGTGACAACAAGTCATGCTTGTGCAACATGTTCAAGATACTCGATGCTTTCTTTCGTTGTGGCTGCTCTTAGCTGCTTCAAGGCTTGCCTGAAGCATCCAGGAAGTATGGTTGTGATGTGTTGTGGTTCCCTAAACCCCGGAAGCTTACACCCTGAACTCTACCAACACCGGAAGCTCGAAACTTAAAACCTTGAAGCCTAAACCCTATAAAGCCCTGAAGCTTAAACCCCTGAAGCTTATATACCTCCAGCCTTAAAAACCTAAACCTTAAGCCCCTAAAACCTAAACCCTAAACCCGAAAATACACAAGTTCAAACTGTAAACTTTAAACCCCTGAAACTTGCACGCTATAACCTCCGAAAACAGCACAAACTCTTAGTACTTTATCCCAGGAATGTAAGTCAGCATGAAACCGCTACAGAAGGCCGCCAAAACTTTGCACTGCTTGCCAGCAACGGTAACTTTCTCCGATGCTGCTGTTGTTGCAGGCAACGACAATGTTTCTCACAGGCACGCCCGCCGGCAAGAGCGAGACAAGGCTTTAGATATTGCCCAAGAAGAGAACCTATGCGGCAGCATTCTTGCAAGCATGGATGTGCCCCTCGAAGGAAAGAACCAGCCGTACAAGTGGTTTTTCCTGAATCCAATGGCACTGATTTTCAAAATGGCATCCGTCAGGCCAGAGTTCGGAGACCTCTTGCACAAGACATCTTTACAGGATGGCAGTATGGATTTGGTGCTGTATTTTGACGAGATCAAACCGGGCAACATCCTTCGTCCAGATGCTGGCCGTGCTCAACTCTGCATTTATTTCACTTTTGGAAATCTGCCTCACTGGGCAAGAAGTCGTGCATGGGGGTGGTGGCATTTCGCCAGTTTTCCAATGAAGCTTTTGGCTAAAGTGCCGGCGGGTGCATCGTTTTTGATGGCCCGTGTTCTGGATGTATTTTTTGGTAGAACATCGTCACTGAACTTTGCAGATGGTGTGCCGTGCATTTCTAGCTGCGGTGCGTTCGCTCTGAAGGCACATTTCAAGACACTGGTCGCCGATGAGAAGGCTCTCAAGGAGGCCTGGTCGCTGAAGGGTGCCAGCGGCACAAAGCCTTGCTATGAGTGTGCAAACGTGGTTGGGCATTGCGCGAAAGAAGATGTGAATCCAGCAGGCTGGCTGCAACATATCACCTGCGCCGACAGGTCGAAGTTCCACGCCCACACGGAAAGCAGCTTCCGGAACATGGCCAACAATTTGGGGGCTGCCAGAACAGCCAGCGAACGCAACAAGCTTTCCCAGGCCTACGGTTTGACCTACCACTCTGACGGCCTCCTTTGGGATGGGTTTTGGGGTGAGAAAGTGAGCCCGATCAGACAGAGTTGCTGGGACTGGATGCACGTGATTGTTGCATCTGGTGGTGTCGCTGCGTATGAATGCAACTCCTTCCTGTTGGAGCTGAAACGGCAAGGCATTCCTTTGTCCACTTTGGATGCATTTGCTGGCAAATGGAATTTGCCGAAAGCCCGTGATTCGCTGAGTGCTTCATTTTTCCAAGATCGTATTCAAGAAGATGGCGAGCCCTTGAGAGCATTTGCAGGAGAAATGTTGGATGTAGTTGTGTTTCTGGACATGTTTCAGCAACATGCCCTGAAGCCACAGGGCAACCTGCCCCGACATTGCAGATGCCTGGAGCTGCTGGCCAGGATTCTTGAGATTCTGCTCAAAAGCGACCGGGCCGTTTCTCATGTGGACGAATTGGAGGCATGCGTGGATGAACATGCGACCCTATTCGTGGAGTTGTACGAGCACTGCGCCAAACCAAAATTTCATATGCTCTTTCACATCAGCAGTGCACTGCGGAGATTTGGCAATCTTTCTTGCTGGGGACCAGAGCGGAAACATCGTGTTGTGAAGTCTTTGGCTCCTTGTCCATAATCTTTGCTTTATGTATATATATATATATATATATATATTTATTTATTTGTTTCCAGTTTGCAGCCCACAGAACCCGTTGAAATGCTCAGGCCCCTATCTTAATTGCTCAGGCCCCTGTATCAAGCCTCAGCCACTGTCTTGCTTACATTAACAAACACACAAGTATCTTAGGTTGGCTCTTCTGTGGCCAATGAGTTGCAGAACAACCTTGCCGTGCGAGCATGCGGCCAGGATTTGAAAGCAATAGAAGAAGGTGTGTTTGAACCGACCGCTTTGGCCAGTCCTCTGACCGACCTTCATTGGGCTGTGGATCTGTTAGCTCCTGTCCTTGATGGTGTGCAGCATGTGCAGAGATCCAGGAAGCTGTATACATCCCGTGGGTCCGTGTTTTGCGGTGATGTGTTGTGGAGTCGATGCCTGCATGTGATTTATCAAGTGAAGGCTTGCCTGATGGCTGTAGATCATGAAGGCCGGAAGCATTTCCTTTTTCATGTCAGTGAGCACAAAAGAGTCAAAGGCAATCGCTTCGACGAAGCTGGAACATTGGGACTTATCTTCTACGAGGAGGATCTTGTCGCAGTGCAGTACAGTGTGTCACTGGCTAGACAGATTGTCATCTACACTGGCACAATGCTCGGGGAAGTCTGAGGCTTGCCCAGACTTGATTTGCAGACTTGATTTGCTTGTTTGCGTTGCAGAATAAGCCCTTCCTTGCCACTGTATGCCGTGCCCCACGACAGGAGGTGTGCATGCCAGCTTGATGTTTATTTTGTATTCGGCTTGCTCAAGCACAATCGGAAGGCTCCAGCCTCTGATTTCACGTTTTGCAGCCAAGGGTTCAGCGGCCGCACATTGCTATGGCAACCCCATCTCCTGATGTCCAGCAAGAAGGTACCCAGCAGGGCGAAGCTACGGCGGCTAAGGAAGAGCCGCCTTCGCCCAAGGTGAGCCAAGAGATGGTGGCATTGCCACCGCCAGCAGCTAACCCTGTGCCTTCGGAGACTCTTTCAAGCATGGTTCAGGATACGGAACCTGAGGCAGAGGAGGTCCAGGTGC